ATAAAGTGGAACTATGCTATAACTAATGTTTTATTTGTTTAAGAAAAAGGCATCATCAATATTGAAAATACAGAAGACAAGATAAGACAATGAACAAATTGGTGAAATAAAGAATGCCTTCTAAACACATGTAATAAGGTTTCAGAGTTCAGAACTGATGCATAGCCCATGCTTCAAAAGCCCAGATTGTCAAAGAAACAGACGATTGAGCGAGATGAAGTAAAGTTTATGGTAGGGTTGTTTGAGTATGATTTATGAAAGTGACAGGCTTAATCGGCAAATAGCATCTTATTCCATATTTTCTAATGTTGTGACTAGAACATGCTCTAATTTCTGATTTGGAATGATAAGACTCAAATTTGCAATCTTACTATTTTACTCATTTCCATATTGCATTGTTAAAAAATGAACATCAGCACCTCTTAGACAGTGTTATGTGCCTTCTCCCAGAGCACACAGTGAAGCAAACACCATTATAATCCATTTCCCTGTTTGTGTTATATATTAATGTGAATGAACATTTCTGCATAACACCTTCTCTGATGAACAAAACAAGTTGATTTGAAAAGAATCTAGAGTCAAAATATCTTCCAACAACAGCAGACTGGATAATTATCATTTAGAAATTGGATTCTTAACAACATACTGTATTATTTCATACACCAGTCTGCTAGGAGCTATGTATGCCATCTAATGAAACCCTGATCAAAGAGCCAAGTAACCATATTTGACTGGACACATAGCTGTAGTATTTAGAAGGACTGTTAACATACAGTTTCATTCAATGTATGAAAGGATGTATCTCATGCAAGTAATGGCTTGCAGTAACCTCCAACAATGTATAGAGAGTGTTTCAGTGATTTTGTGAGCTTTATAAAAGGGAAACACATGAGCTGAGTTATTTAAATTGATGAATCTGAATCTGGGTTTTTTTTAATAACAGAAAACACTTGCTAGGATTGGAGCAAAGTTGAGCTTGTTCGGCTCACTGTAGCAAATCATCTTGACATCTATCTTATAACTAGCAGAATGAATGCTCTTGGCAATACTGTGTGAAGCATGTACTTCTTAAAACAACTGTAGAGTAAGATTAAAAACAGCAGGAGGAATGAACCCAATAAAGAAGAATTATTGTAATCTTCAATTCCAGATTCAAGAATCTCTGCCAATGCACTGTCACCTTGCATAATTCAGCAAAAGTAACAACACAACATAAAACACACAGCTCACTCTAGCATCGTTGATAATTCAGTGCACACTCCATTATATCTTTTATAAAATTAGAAACATGGTATATCAGTTCTGTATTATTTAATTTATTTCAGGTATATATTATGGAAATATTCTTGCAGAATTGCAAGTGCGCAGTTTCAGAGAAAATACTTCAGTTTGAATTCCTGCTTTCCGTTAACTCATACCAGTTGAATGGTTATGCACACCAGTAAGTTCAAGTGTTTTTTTTCCCTTTTAGTTTTAATTTGTGATCCAACCTGTGTGAATGTCATCAGCATATCATAGTCAAGCCCATCTTATTCTCACCCAAACATTTACACTGTAAAACTTTCTAGTAAAGGTCTCATAATGGTGATCATACCAAAAAAGAAAACAGTGGAGATCATTCAGTCCCTCAATCCTACTTGCACAAAATAGGACTTAATTTATAAAGTTAAATTTCCCTGCCTTCTTCCACTATAATCCTATTTGTTTCCTTCTTCCCAAATATTTTTCTATTCTTTAAGTAATTCTCCAGTATCTTTCTGATAACAATCAGAAGCCCCCATTATCACTTGTCACAAAGCATTCCATATTGCAGTAACTATTTGTGAAATACATTCTTCTATTCACTCCCCCGTACATGTATTTCTTACCTTCAATTATCAATACAAATAATTACTTATATTTACTTTGTATATTCCCTTTAGCATTTCTAACATCTTTTACAAATCTTTCAAATTCCCCTTAAACTAAGAAAAGACAGACCTAATTGACTGAGCCATTCCTTACAACATAAATCCCTCATCACTGTAATCCTCCTGGTAAATCCATGCTACACTTTCTTCAGTATTATAATAAACTCTTTTAGCAATGAGTCCAATACTCCATATGGTTTCATTGATATGGACAAACAATCACGTTGCAGAAGGTAATTTCTTTGCTTATGTATTCAATCCCTTTCTATATCCACTTTTCAGGATTCATGTATCTGCACAGCATTGAAAAATGTAACATTTTAATTATACCTTCTATTATTTGCCGTTTATAAAATCCATTACCTGATCGATAAAAATATCATGGCTTATTTCTCCATACTATTCAGAGACGCTATAATCATTTAGCACCCGGTTGCCCCGCCATATGTCAACTAACAGCATACTCTGAAGTTCAAACCTCAACAGCTTATGGTCTGTAGGTTTCAGTACCATATCATGTAGCCACTAGTAACTGATCCACTTGTGCAGCTGTCTCAAATCTATTTGAATTTGTTTGACTGAGTTTAATCAATACTTATGTTATCAAAAAAATCAATACTTGTGTTGCAGAATGAAGTGCTATATCCCCAAAATCTGGCCTAGTAGATAAACAGTCTCACGTTCTGATGAGTGTCTAACAATCCTTTAAACTTGAATGTGGTCACTATGGAATGAGAGTACACTTTCATGGGATATCTTCACGAGGCAACTTATTCTACTCTAGACTGTCATCATCATTTGGCTTTGGTGGAATGCAATTATATTCTTGGGGCATTCACATTTTTCAAATGTTGAATATATTATTTAATAATACAACTGATTAAAAGATCTCCCCTCATCAGTAATATTACAGACACAATAAGGAATTGCCAGAAGACAATACATGCAAGAATACTCTCAAACCTAGGGCTCAGTGCATACCCACATTGTAGAAAGGCAAGCATTTGATGCTGGAACTCTGCACTCCAGAATGTCATGTCATGTTCAAAAACTAGTTAATAATCTACGCCAACCAAACCCATAAAATTGACAGCAGTAGGTGGAATCGGTGACTATCATGACAGGTAGTAGGTCAAGTTAGCAGTTTATGCTAGCTGAATTCGTATTATTTTAGCCCGTTTACTATCTACACAGCAGAGGCTAAATTTGCCATACTGGATGGTAGTCCATGCTAATTGAGCCATTATTTACACTCCTGGCCAGTTTTGTTTATTATTCATTCCTGTGATATAAATGGCACTGTATTGCTCATTCCTAATTACCTTTAAGAAGGTGGGGGAGATCCCATCTTGTTATAGTATCATACCCAAGGTAAACACCCTCTCAGAATTTAAAATGTCACGTCCCTTCAGGATCTTGTGTGTCTCAATAGGATTACCACTCATTCTTCTAAACCCCAACAGGCAAAGGCCTATTCCCTCTTGGCAACTGAATAGGCTTACAAGGCCATTTCAAAGGGCCTTTAAGAGACAGCCACATGGTTTTGGATCTGAATTGACATTTGGGCCAGACTGGGTCAGGATGGCAGATTTCTTTCTTTAAAGGGTGTTTGTGAACTTGATGAGGTTTTATATGACAATCTGGTAGTTACATGGTCACCATAACTGGTAGTAACATTTTATTCCAAATCTATTTGAGTAACTTAATTTAAATTCCCAACTGCTCCGCTGAGATTTGGACTCGTATTTCCAACCATTTTATCCAAGCCTCTAGTGTTACAATAATCAATATGCGGAGGTGCCAATGTTGGACTGGGGTGGACAAAGTCAGAAATCACACAACACCAGGTTATTCTCCAACAGGGTTTATTTGAAAAGAAGGAGTGAGGCTCCAAAAGCTTATGTTTTCGAATAAACCCGTTGAACCTGGTGCCGTGTGATTAATAATCAATACGCTACAATTCGCAATAACTGTCAATTACAACTGAGCTCATTCTGTGGAATGCCAGTCTACATCAATTTGACTTATATTTGTCACGTGGATGTGAGCTTTCCATCAGGTCAGCATTTATTATCAAATCCTAATTTCCCTTCCAAAGATGGTGGGCAGCTGTGTTTTTGAATTGCTGCAGTTCAGGTGGTGTAGATCTGAAAGAACGCAAGAAATAGGAGTAGACCATTTGTGGTTCCTCAAGTCTGCTCTGCCAATCAATAAGATGACAGCTGAACTTATTGTGCCCTCAATTCCGTTTTCCTGTCTATCATTTATAACCCTGGATTTCCATATCATTCGAAAATCAGCTCACTTCATCCTTGAATATATTCAATGATCCAGACTCCACTTCTCCGTGGGGTACAGAATTCCAAATAGCAACAAGCCTCAGAGGGACGATGTTTCTCCTCACCTTTGTCTTAAATGGAAGATCGCTAACTTTTAAACTGTGTCCCCTTGTTATAGTCTTGTCCCTAAGGTAAACACCCTCTCAGAATTTACCCTGTCATGTCTCTTCAGGATCTTATGTTTCATAGGATTACCATTCATTCTTCTAAACCCCAATAGGCCCAGCCTTTCCTCATAAGATAACCTCTTCCTCCCAAGAATCAGCCAAGTAAACCTTCACTGTACTTTTTTTCTAATGCAATGATATCATTTCTTAAATTTAGAGATCAAAACTGTATGCAGTACTCCAAATGAGGTCTATCTGAGGCCCTATACAGATGCAGAAACACTTCCTTACTTTTATACATGATTCCGCTGGCAAGAAACACCAACATTTCACTTGGCTTCCTGACACCGACAGTGATGTTAAGAAAGAGATACAAGATCTTGACTTTGCAACAGAGAAGAAATGGCAATATATTTCCAAGCCAGGATGGTGTTTAGCTTGGCATTCCTAACTTCTAACTTCCCATTCTTTTCAAGTGTCCCAGTGTCCAGCACACTGGGTTTACTCCTTCATCCAGCTTTCTCAATTTTAAAATATAGGTGAAAAAGGGAAAGTTAGTTACTTTAAAATAGATTAATATTTGGAAATAAGATACCATAATCATCCCAATACATGACACATTGACACATCTGATTATATCTTACCTTCTTACGCACCTGTTGCTGTTTGGCAGAGTGTGCTTTGACATGCTTCCTCAGTGAGCTTGGATCAGTGTAGCGCTTTGTGCACCCTGGGATCTGACAAGCATATGGTTTCTGTAAAGGTTTAAGAGAGGAAAAATTTTACACTTCGCAATAGCTGCTGAGTCTCATTAATACAGTTCTGTACTGACTGTGTACATGGGATACCTTCTGCTATGAGAGGATGAATTATTGCTTCCTGTGCCCAAGCACACTCAAATCAGAATACAGTTACTAAATGTAGAAATTCCTCTTTTTAAGACACTTCACTCAAATAGCTCAGTCCTGGCACTTCTTCAGTATAACGCGGTGTTAGATGATAGCCCTGCTCCTGGATTTGATTCAAAACCTGGAAATACTTTTCGCAACTGTAGCTGTTGATAATTATTACTGGTGACCAATCACGTAACTATCAGGAAGCTGCAAATATAGAACATTTGACTGCAATAACTTATCAATGATCACATTTATATCCTCCATTTTGTAAGGAGTTTTGAAGAAGGTCTTTTTTCTTCGGATAGACAAGTTACATATCTAATCAAGGATTCTTATCTGTACTTCAATGCAAGTTATTGTATCATTTGCTGCTGTGTACTTAGGTTAGTGCATAAGGGCAATCCAAAAAGTAATCTCACACTGCAGGATGGCTGGACCACTGTTGTGAATTTTTAGAAACTTATTTAGACCTTATTTCTGTCCCAGTGATACAACTCTACATTGCATTGCCATAGAGTTACATTGTCCTTGGGCAGAGCAACATGCAGCAGCTGGCAGTGCAGTTTAACCTGATACTTGCAGAACAACATTCCCAAAAGCGTAGTGAGTTTACATTTAAGGGCTTCCAGATTTAAATTCAAAGTATTGTCGTAAGGTGAAAACCGATTTAGACATATTTATAATAACATATACATATAAAACACATTTTTGTGTTCATCACATGGGCAGTAATCTGGCACAGCAGATTGTTCATTTGTCTAGCATGGTGGTCACACTGCTCATTTCAATGGAATGAAATTTGGGTGAGCTTTATAATGGGTGAGCAGTCAGCTCCGCCATATTATTGTCAGTGCAAAAATAAAATTTTACCCTATTACATTTAAGAATCATCTGTATCATCTTCTCCTGAAATCATTGAATGAGTGGTACCTGGGCTCTGCAGACAGGGATTCCTTTCCAAAAGAAGGAAAGCATAAAGAAGAGAAGGAAGAATTATAAGCTTCATGTTTATGAAGTGCAGACTTAACATCTGAATATTACAACATAAGGTGAAGCAATATCTTTGCTATCCCATGACAAATGTTTTGTAAATTCAAACAGGTTCAGCATCTGTTTTATGTTACTTAATTACAAATCCTCCAACATTCCTAACACATGTTTTATATATTACCTGTCTTGATTATGTAACTATTGTACATCCTTGCTGGCAAAACTTTCCATTCAATTTTTTCTCCAGGTTTTTTGTTGAGCATGGATCCACAGCTACTAATGCCCTAAGTGGCAATTCTTCATGTGATGCCGAGCCAGGTATAAGATGGCTAGTGGTCCATGGGAGATATTGCAGCCAATTCTTATTTTGTCCTCACTGGATATTTACATTAAAGATTTCCAACAGGAGTCAGTGGAGATTATTTTTTTCCACCCCTCTAGACAGAAAAACTAAGAACAGCAGAAGTACTATCATAGCTATTTCAAGATTAATGAATTTATGACAGATAAGAGAGGAACTGGAGCACTTGCTGGCCTATGTAACTCAGTACTACATTCTGGCAGCGGACTTATTGACTTGGACATTGGAACCACATTTTATACTCTTAACAAAACTGGGAAAGATGTAAAATACCACATTTATACGACGTACCAAACTAACATCAAATTAACAAGTGTTGCTGAACACACCTCCTCCCTGAATGTAAGTATTTACAGCAATTATTTTTCAAATGAACAGCATCAGCATTGTTGGATTTACTTAATTGCTATTCAATAGCAGCTGTTCTGCTACTTATTTTAATATCACTGTGGGTTCAGTCGAATTCTAATATATATAGCAGGTTTGGTTCAATTTTAAAAGCTAGACACAACTTGCTGGTTTCAGGCAAGAGTATGGTAGCCCATGAGAGAAGCGGGTGTTATGCCTTCTGGTTGTCTTTTGGTTCCTGGATGTTTAAAACAATCAGACCTTAAGTTTGAAAAGATGAGGGCTTTTTTAAAATTCTAATATGCCATCCTGCCTTGTACGGAAGACTGCCTAAACCAGTGCTGGGTTACACAAGAACCTGACTCTACAATGCAGCTGTGAATGTTGTCACAGGAATACTCACACGTACATTTATCTCTTGCCTAATTAGTTCCTAACTTTCTTCAGACAATATAATACATAACATCAGTCTTAATTTAAATCTAATGACCTGCTCCAGTCATTAACTTTTCTAGCCAAAAGAAGGTTATCAATTGACTTTTTTTGGAAATAAGATTAGCCCCTTTTCAAAGATCATTTTTAACATTTGAAAAATATTATTCATGTCATTGCTTAGATGGGAAGAATGTTCCTCCATCTTGTATTTGGCATTCACTGCTGTCAGTGGTGAGTTTGCAAGAGGATACGTTTATTGCTCTTGGTTTTGCAGAGTTATGCTTTCTGTTGCTAAATATTGTCACCCCAGATAATGATGTTTTTGGTGTAGTTGTTTAAAGTACTTTCTGATTTCCAGCTCACATTTAAGTTGAATATGGATTATGTTTCTTCTCATTTCCTTACTTGTTTTTTGGTCTCAACTACATCAACTTCTTAAGGTTTCAGTTGCAGCTTCAGCAACATTTTTCCTGGGCTCCAGGTTTCCATTATTGGATCCTGTATATATACGGTCCTTTCAGAAGCTCAGGTCAGGAGTTAGCATGTTTGTTGCAGTGCTTATCTCCTATTTCCTGTGCTCCAGTGAATTATTTTCTCAATTCATCCCAGTCACTTTGAGGATGCATTTCATTTGGAAGAATATTCTTTTATTTTCTTCCACTCAGCAGCTCTGCAGGTGATTTCATGTCATCCTGTAAAATTGTGGATCAGAGTGACATTAAGGCATGGTTTGGATCTTTTTGGTCTCTCAACATTTTGCAAGCATTCTTTTGAACATTAGGCCATGGCTCTCTATGAACTCATGTCCCCAAAGGTGATGATATTGAACTAATATTATTCAATAAAATTTCCTTAAATTTTTGAATGTGAACTGGATGCCATGGCCACTACATTCATCTTTCAGGAATCCCTTGCTGAACATACAGAACTCGTACTGCTGAAATGTGGCTTCCCAGTCTTTCATTTTCCAGAAACTGGGAACATTGAGGAGTGGATTACAACTATGCAATACCATTCTTCATTGTGTGAATAAATCAGCTTCCATAATATGCCATGATCTGGGTTGTACTCCATCTCCTCCATCTATTGTGTATTTCTGTACTTCTAGCATACTAGCATGTAGGCACCATGTTTTCACTGTCTTTGTAGATGCCCATCTGGTACACAGCCGATTTGTTTGAGTTTACAGTTTTCAGTTCCTATGTAGCCATCATGTATCTTCTGGAGAACTTCTTCCTGCATTATTTTGAGTATGGCTGTTCTGGATCTGGCGAGCAGAACATTATCTTCCACTGAGATGTCATCTTTGATAGATTAGTACCACTGTATTGCTGGCTATGCTTGCCATGTTTATCAAGCCACGCCTGTATTATTTGCGGAGACAGCAACATTTGTAGCTTCCCAGTTTTGCTGGCTTCATCACTAATTTGACTCAGCTTTGGTGGTGTTACATACTGCATGGTGTACCTTTACACCTAAATCTTCTATCTCATGTTTTTTTGTTGCGTCCACAGTCAAGGTATCTGCCAGAAGCATTTGTCTTTCTGACTGGTATTTTAGAGTAAAATCATAACTTTGAAGTCTCAAGAGAAACCTCTGTAGTCTTGCAGGTATTTTACACGGATTCTTCTTGTACGTCTGTTACAGTGGACAATTGTCATTCTTCACTATACATATTCTTCCATATAAACATGTATGGAAATTCTCACATTTATGCTTGACTGCCAAAAGCTCTCTTGACTAAGTTGGTATATCTGGCCTCAGCTAAGTTTAGAGCTTTGGATACGAATGCTATTGACTTTTCTTCTTGTATCAGGATTGCTGCCAGTCATTATGTGGAAACATTCATTGGTAGAGTGACAGGTTGCTTTATATTATAGTTTGACAGACTTGTCTCTTTGCATATTACCATTATGAGTTTGTTGAAATTCACGTCATGTGACTATGACCATTGATAATCTACATCTTATTTCATTAGCTCCTGCAGGTTTTCTATGCTCTTACATACCCAGTTCAAAGAAGGTCATACATTGGATTATACCAAACATACTGAAGGTTTATAATATATAATTCATTTGGGAACTTGTGTCTTAGAGTCTTACTGTCACCGTAAAACACAAATAGCAATGAAAGGAAATTTTATTGGAAAATGAAAATGCCTCTTAAAGAAAGCTTTTGTTTTTTTCCTGGCAGTGATTTGTAATTTTCCATTTTTCTTTGAGAACGCAAGTTCGAGAAAGGTAAATAGGTTTTTGGTTTCTCATTCTGTAAAAGTGACTTGTTTTTCTTAAGGGTCAGAAACTCACTTTTTAGCAGTGGGTCAAAACATCATTTCGAAGGGACCCTGTGACTGGAGCTAAATGACAAGACAAGGTACCTGGTGAGATAATTGTGAAAGTATTTACCAAGTTGAGTTTTTATAACCCAGAGAGTGATAGACAGAGAACACAGAGGCAAGAAACAGGTTCAATTCAGAAGTAAAGATCCATATAAGCTTATGTATTTGCAGCCTGAGATTAGTCAAAGCAACTGGAAAAAAGTCATTTGTTTCTTTCTTCGAGTTTGGTGAGAAAAATTAGTTAGCTTGTGTCTCTGTGTCTTGGGAACAGACAAAGAACATCACATCAGGTGAATGTGCAGAAAGTAACCAAACGAAAATGTTTGTGACTTTCAGTGGAGCAAGAAATTAAAGTGAAGAATGGAGTGATAAATCACTGTATATTGC